CTATGTTGGGACTTAATCCCAAATCAATTTCCAGCATATACCAGCAAAAACATACAACTTTTAGGACATAGTGTCCTGTATTCATATCATGCCTACTGTTGGCGTCCTATATCTTCGTATATTAGGGATTTGAAAAATAGACATAATAAAACATATGCGTAAAAACTTATTAGGATCTTGTTTGTCTATACATTAATTTCGGCTCTTTTTGACAAGTGCATAAATTTCCATGAGATTATCTAATCATCCTGCGTCTATTATAACATTAACTTCTTTAAAATTATGTATTGATTGGCTTGCTTCTTCCTGGTTATATTCGTATTGATGTAATTCAAAATTTGCTTCATCATCATCATCTAAATACTAATCTCTGCTTTCATCCCACTTTTCTATTATTCGTGCGCTATCATTATAAGTAACAAGTAAGGAAGTTCTAAGTTCGGGTGTCACCGAACATTTTATACTCTCGCATGATAAAGTGATAATCGCGATTTCAGGCGTGGTTGTGAACCGATTTCACCCATATTTAGTGCATGTCATCAGGGTGTTAAGAAAATATTATATACCGAATTTCATTGAAATCGATCGAGTACTTCCTGAGATATGGTTTTTGATCCATAAGTTGGCGACSCCAAGCCCATTTTCAATTTAAAACAAAAAGCCTGGATGCAACTTCCTTCTGACATTTCTTCCGTAAAATTTAGTGTTTCTGACGTTTTTTGTTAGTCGGTTAACGCACTTTTASTGATTTTGAACATAACCTTTGCATGGGAGGTGGGCGTGGTTATTATCCGATTTCTTCCATTTTTGAACTGTATATGGAAATGCTTAAAAGAAACGACTCTATACAGTTTGGTTGACATAGCTATAGTAGTTTTCGAGATATATACAGAAAAGTTAGTAGGGGCCGGGGCCACGCCCACTTTTCCAAAAAAATTACGTCCAAATATGCCCCTCTCTAATGCGATCCTTTGTGCCAAATTTCATTTTAATATCTTTATTTATGGCTTAGTTAGGACACTTTATAGGTTTTAGGTTTCCGCCATTTTGTGGGCGTGGCAGTGGGCGGATTTGGCCCATCTTCGAACTTAACCTTCTTATGGAGCCAAGATACGTGCACTAAGCTTCATCATGATATCTCAATTTTTACTCAAGTTACAGCTTGCACGGACGAACGGACAGAAGGACAGACAGACATCCGGATTTCAACTCTACTCGTCACCCTGATCACTTTGGTATATATAACCCTATATATGACTCTTTTAGTTTTAGGACTTACAAACAACCGTTATGTGAACAAAGCTATAATACTCTCTTTAGCAACTTTGTTGCGAGAGTGTAAAAATTTAGGCTTAAATTAACATGCATGTACATGTGCAATGATACATTATAACTCTTCCAAAAATAATTCGTGTGAAACCCGAATTTGTTGTTTGGGCAAGAAACCCTCCAAGTTAATTGGAAATACTTACATTTTGTTATAAATTCTCAATAATTCACAAATATAATGAAAATTTAACACTACATTTTCAATATATCAGAAGTTTACTCTTTACTACTTATATTCACACAAACTCAACAATATTTGCGAAACTCTACCAAGGGATAATAGTGTAAGGTATAATTATCATTTGGCGAAAAAATAACTAAATTAAGAAACGATATAAGTGCCAGATGAATGAGAAGTTAGCATTGTATATATGCAATGCTATGCAACGAAGGGTTAAAGTGAATTTAAAAAAATTTGAGCAAATTCATCAGGTAAGTTAATACAAGTTTTAAATTGATAAAAATATAACTTAAGGCATTTAAATACTTAGATTGTAAAGCGAACAAATGTGCTTAAAGCCTCGGAAGTGAAATCAATGTGGAATATTGTAAAAATAATCCGAACATTCGTTTCAAAAGAAAAATGTTTTTCTTTTGTTAGGGTGCCGGTGGCGGAAAGATGGTTGTCGGAACCGAACTGCATTGGCAAGGTCAAGCGATACCTGGTTTGACAACGTAAAGATTCCATATCCTCCAGAATTTTATTTAACGTATGCGTATGTATACCATTGGTCGCATGCGGAAGTGGGGAAGAACAGTTTTATCAGGGAACCAGTTTTGGCACGATTCCGATTACTTTGGCGGAGAGGTAAAAAACCGAATTTCCGTATAAATGGGGTTGGTGTGGATAGGGGAGCTTCTCCAGAGAAGGAATATCCAAAAATAATATTAATTAAAATATTCACGATTAAAAGTTCATAAAGCTGCGATTTAGAATAGCATCCCCGGATTTCGGGGTTAAAATGGGTATGTACGGATTGAGGAGGTCCTCCAGATCTAGAATATATAWACATATTCAGGGGTGTTGTGGAATCTGATAGTTGTCGCAATCAGAATTGAAACCGATCAAAACAAGTAGTAGGTGCCATGAATTCAGATATTATTGGTTTGATATTCGAAACAGAAGTTGTATCGGTTTTGGGTGTCACGGAACCAATTTTATCGGTTTTACTATCGGAAACAAAGTAAAAAGATAGTCGCTGACAAATTTGAAATGTAAGTTAAGAAATCAAGTTATTTTATTATTTCGAATGAATGTATCTTTATTTCTATAGGGGAAAACATAAGTATAAAACACGAAATGTCTTAATTATTGATTTTTTGAAAAAAATGCGGATATTTAAGAGGGGAGCCTTTTTTAGAGGCTTAGTAAAATCGAAACTTCTAGGATTTATATTTAGTTATATATTTGGGGAATGTTTAGTATCGCGCCGGTTAAATATCGTTTATGGAGAAAAACAGGGTCGGGCTATCCCCACTCCCGACCCCTTATTGGAAAGAGGAAAGATCGAACTTTTTAATAAACCCTACCTCGACCCCCTAGATCCCCTATGGACCTGTAGGGAGGCCTTTAAAATGACCAAAAATCAGTGTTTTTGCTCATTTTTCCATACAAACTGAAACCAATGCAACCCAGCCAACATTTTGGTATGGACAAGATATCAAAATAAAGAAAGCCAAAATGTTTCAGTGCAATGTATATACGTATATAATTGCATCCATCCTTCGGTCGCGCTTTAAAAAAATAACCTTGGCCGGTCCAACACCGGCTACGCCATCCACAGTATTTTWKYATTGAACACCTTTTCCTCCACAGTATCTTAGCATTTCATTCCTTTCCGCACTAGCGGCCT